TACTTAATTTATACCCAGACTACCCCAAAGACTGAAACAAACTGTGTGCAGTGAATTACTCCAAGAAGTTACCCCAGAAACTTAAGGGTAAGGAGAAAAGCTCAGGGAGAGCACAGTCCATAAAGAGAGTGCTGCTGGTCATATGCCAGGTAGATGGTACAATGAAAAGGATCGATTGATAATATTACAGCCTTAAAGGAATAGGGAAATAGGGTGAGAGATGAGTCAGTTGACAGGGAAGTGAATGCACTTTGCCATTGGTCTCAGCTGAGGTCCATAAACTGTGTTCTCAAGGAAGTTTTCAGTTTAGATGGGAACCTGAATTTTGTTCTCAGGCCTCAGAGAAGCTGCCATGTTTTTATCTTTTATCTGCCATGGGAGGACACACAGAACGCTCAAGCCGAAACAGAGCCCAAACCATAAATGTTTTAGGGCTTAAAAGCTGTATCTCAAATTGTGGCAGGCAGTTGATACACTGCAGTGAAGCCAGGATTTTTTCCCAAGTCTCCTACCTGGTGATGCAAACTAGAATTGCTAGGGACCTATTGTTTTGGCGCACATGTATTCAGTAACATTTCATTAGTACAATGAATGCAACAATTATAAATACCAAAAATGACATCACCTCAGTCAAGAAAAACTTTAAAAGTATATTAAAAAGATCTGGTAAACCATCACATTAGATTTTGTTAAACAGCCCACAGCTTTGACAAAAGCAGCTATTACACAAGCAAAGCCATGTAAGAGTAGAAACGCACATACTGTTATATCACAGCTGCCTCATGGACATTCTTGATCTTAAGATTCAACTTATGTCTGAAGCAATGCCCAGTTGAGTTACCTAGCCTTCTTAGTGGATACAGAAAATATCAAACCAGCATAAAATCTTCCATACAAACACTTGCACATGCACAATTTCACACAAAGCACTCAGAATACATGATCACTGAGACAGTAATAGTAGGGGGGAAAAATCACTGTATTGCTTCCCTTCATTAATACCTTCTAGGATTATTTTGCTGATGTGAAAAGGGTTTTGTTGTTGCATTTCATTCTACCATGCTGAAGCTTCAAGAGAATTTCCTGAAGTCTAGGTTTAAGCCACAGCATTGAACATTCAGTTGTATTCACTAGAGATCTCAGAATCTTTTGCACTTCCCCTAAGAAGCAGTTTCTTTTAGGAAACTTTTTAGGAATAGGCCCTTTTGTGGGAAACTATCTAAACACCCAGGGCACCACCTATTGGTCAGTCCACATTTATTTTCCATTTTCCCAAAAAGGCTTTTTTCTTTTTTTTTTAAACTATTTCAATTGAAACAATCCCCCAGTGGGAGTGTGATGAGGTCAGAGTTCTTCAGGTCAACTATGTTCAGAACATTAGTATTTATTTCTATTGTATCAGTGCCCAGGGATCCCAAACAGAGATTTCTACTCCATAGTTCAGGGCTCTGTAGACGTAAACTCAAAAATGGCCCTTGCCTCTGAGTGCTCACAGAGTCCTAGTTTTAGACAATAAGCAACCACCAAACAAACCAAACAACAGGGTGGAGGGAGTTAAAATTATGTCAATAGGCATGTCTATACATGCGCTTTACTGCTCAATAGACAAATTTACTTCACAGTAAAGTGTTACCATCTACATGTATGCAGCAACTGAGCCAGTGTAGAGTAATTTAAAGTGCCATTGGATAGTCCTGTCAAACACAGGTACTATTCAGCAGCAGAGTAAATTACTTTGCTTAAATACATGTGTAGATGGTGATGTTGGGATTAGTTTACTCTGGTTCAAATTGCACTGGAGTTTATCAGTCACATTAATTGCTTGTGTAGATGCACCCAGTAGTTCCAGGAAGCAGTGGTGAGCTGCAGGCATCTTAGCCAAAGTGGGATTTCAAAGCTGTTGGTTTGTGAGATGAATTGGAGGATACTTCCCAAGCATAAGGGTCAACATGACAGAAATCATACGGTATTCATGGGGAAAAAGCAGACAAGTAGGCAGTCAAAGCAACAGCTGTTGGCAGACCAAAGCAGGGGGTTGACATTGTGATAAATAAGTTGTCTTCTTACCTCTAGGACTACTCAGCAGCTCCAGTGTATGAATTTTATGAACCACCCTGAAACAAATCCCTTTCAAGTCTAATGTTCAGAATACTCTGTTTAGGTAGACAATCAGTGCAGATGTATGTCATCCTATGTATTTCCAATACAATTTAACCAGATGACTATATTGCTGAAATCAGGGTTATTTACAGTGGCACATGGAGGTTTTGTTCTCAACTCCTTTCAGTAGGTTTTTAACTGCCAAATGTGCCTTTGATAATCTTCAAACTGTTCTTTCTTCATCCCACACTGAAATCATCTGATAGAGTGTTCAGCACTCTTTGCGCAAATGCTGTTCTATGGACAACACAGAAATCTAGCAAAGATTCATGTCACTGTTTAATAATTTGTAGAGCTTGCATTTTCATTTTAAAAAGTGTCAGTCACTGAAAATAAAGTAGACATCCTAGATCTCATGCATATTCTTAATGAAAACATCACGTATCCTTCTTCAAAATAATTTCTTTCAAGTATAAGGGACTTTTGCCCCTGGAGGCTAATTTAGCAGTTTTAATGCTTAATTAGCAACTTAGAGGAATCTTACAGTATCTACCCCAGCGCTCTTCAGATAGTATTCACAAGAGAGAGTCTGTTTTGTCTGCAGGAACCTAATTCAAAATTGTGGCTTAGATGAGATCCTCTTAAGCTATCTGGAGTTCCCACAGGACAGCAGAACTACTACCAACATGAAGTCTTCCAGCACATTCTTGTTAATCTGTTTCTATCAGTTGCAGCAAAGTTATTGTACATTCTCACAACTTGAAATAAGGGATGCTTATGAATTGGTGACAAAGTGAATTCTGTCTGTCAGCATCATGTCGTAATAAAGCCAACCTCGTCCTGATACGCCCTTCTCACAGAAAACCCATAGAGAGGATTCTATAGGTCCTCTGATACAGGTTGCAGCTTGAGAAGACTGCATGGCCTGTAAACCACAGACATTCATATGGGAAGCACAGCACAAGTTTATTATTGCCAAGCCCATGGCTGAACTCTGCCCTCCTCTGCCTCCTGGGGTTCTCCTTCCTCCAGCAGCAAGACTTATCAGTTACAAAACTGCTCCTCATCTGTTATCTTCTTAGCTGCACACTATTCCCCTAACTTTCAGTGGAGAATCACTGGAGTTAATAACACTTGTGGCAGCCTCACCTCCTGTGTAGATTTCTCCTAAAAAGTCTTTTGTATTAGGATGGACCATGCTACAAAGAGGCAAAAACGTACATCCCAGTGTTTCTCTCCTTACACACGCAACCTAATAAACCCAAAGAGCCTCATCAGTGTTTAGGGTAAAGGAAGGAGTGCTTGCATGCTGGAGATGATGCATGAATCCCAGCCTTCCTACCTTCTGAATTTTTTTGCTGCTTTGGATATCTCTGATGGCAAAAAGGAACAAGAGCAACCTGTTTATTTCAGTGATTTTCAGTCTCCAAGTGTAACAGTCACTTCCAGCATCCTTGGGCTGTAGTTCTGGACATACACAAAGTGCTGGTATGGCCTGTAACTTGAAAGGACAGACTGACCAGTGATAAAGGCTCTAGCCTAGAACCTGGATTCCACTTGCTGTCCTAATACAGACTTCCTGGGTGACCTCTGGCAAGTGTCAGTACTTCCGTTCCCCAATTGTAAAATGGGGATCAGAGCACTGTCTGACTTAACAGGGGAATTGAGACTTTGAATCACTTTAGTCCTACAGCAATAAGGGCCATTTCAGCATTTAATGCTTTTTGGGGTTCCTCCTTGTCTTCATTTCAAAGTGGCAGCAAATAACAAAACTCTTGCTTTGCTGCTGCCACTGGCTTGGCCTCACAGATAAGCAATGTCATCTTCATCTACAAGCATAATACTCAACCCCAGTTACTGCCCAGTAGGACTGAGGTGTACTCATCATATGCAAGTTAAGTGAACACTCAGATTACACTGGCAGGGAAATGCAGGTTTATCATACCACATTAGATCACCTGTTCGAGTACACTGCCTCCACCTACATCCAAAACATGATAAAAAGCCTCCACAATGAACCCAACCAATCTGTAGATGGCAGACAAATTCCTTCCTAGCCCACACAGATGGTGAACTTAAATCTTGAAATGAGACATTTCGTTCCATGTTGTTTTTGCTCATAAGAGCTTTTAAGTGTTAAGGATGCATTTAATCCTTCCAGTCTACTGACAGGATCTCAATTTAGTGTGTTGCTATAAATAAGGCCTAGGAAAAAGCTAAGACCAGTGTAAACTCTTCTCCATTTACTGCGGGTCTTATAGTGCATGTGAAGTTAGAGCCTTTGGAGAGTTTAACCTGTACTAAGCCCTTATATCTAAAGGAAATGAAGAAGGGGGTGGAGGAGCAATATGGTCTAGTGAGGAACGAAAGGAACTCTGAGCCAGGAGATCTGGGCTGTATTGCATTTATCTGCAGCACAGCAGCAGTATGTCTCAGCCTGCATGTTCCCAAGCCCACCCTACCCACCTACCACCAGCCAGCCTCCAGACTCTGCAATGTGCCTGTGAGGTTACTCTAGAACATCCCCTAAATGCTCCGCTGGCCTGTCTCTGGCATGCTTGAATAACCACAGAGGATGTCCCAGGAAGCCTCACTGGCACATTTCTGGGTTTGGAGTGTGCTAGCAGAAGCAAGATGGGCAGGACACAATGCTGCTGCAGAATGGCAACGTGACACTGGGCGAACCACCACACCTGCCTCAGCATCACCTCCTCCAGCTATAAAACAGCCCCTTTCAGAAAATGCTTTAATATCCTGTGAGTAAAATTATACTATATAGATTGCATTTCTCACTATTTATAGAGCAGAGCGAGATGCTATTTCTATGCACACTCCATACTGTAGAAGACAGAAACAAATTCTCACACAACAGGTGTTATAGTAAGAAGCTGAGTACACACCAGGAAATGAGATGCGTCGTTTCCAGCCCATGCAGTCTAAGCCTGTTGGGGTGCTCTGTGAAAATGGATGCAACTTAAGAGGAAGAATGTCAAAGGCAACAGCAGAAGCGATGGCCAGACTCATTCTAGCCTGCAAGACAAAAGGGAAACACAGGAGATAGATATTATGCTTAGATGCCTTCAAGTACCAATTAACGGTTTCATCCTGAAATGTTTCTTTCCAGCTGTAATGCTTGTTAGTGTTTGTTATCCCAAAGTAAGTGTCTGCATAATTAGATTCTTTAGGACAGGGGGTAGGGGAGGGGCCAGCCTATCCTATCAAAATAAGGCTTTTCTCTCAGATAGTGATGAAGAGAGCAAAGCTTCAAGGTAAGGGGATGGAAGAAGAAGTTATAAGAGCCATAACCCCTGGCACATGCATAGACAGCATGTTCATAGGTACCATTATCATCCTCAACTTGCATCTGTTTTGCTATAGAGATGCATGAAGTTATTTCTCTTCCTTGAAGCACACTCTGTGGGGGCAGGAAAACACAATACATTTCTTTGGAAAATTACATACCAGGAAGACAATTATAAAACATGGACTCATTCTTTCCATTAATTTTTTGCTCAGTAAGTCTTGAGTATGGATTATTTCACCAGTGGGAGGGAAAACAAAACTCTCTCATGGACAAAAATAGGAGGATATTTACAAAGGAAAAAGGCACTTGTCACTAGTGGGGGAAAAAAAACTCTAAAAAAACTGAAATGAAAATGAATGTGTTTGGGTTTTGACTATTACATCCCAACCATATTTTTTTAGTCAATTTTGCCATAACAAGATACATCTAGCCCACTTCTGCTGGCTTGGAACAGGAACTAGTGTGAACTCAGCAGTGCAAATGGGGATTTTACTGTCCTCTGTAGTGTGTGGGCACATTTCTTTTTTTAGGGTCTTTTGAGCACATATTAACCAACTACTTCCTTGTAATTACAGTGGCAGGGTATTGGCAGTTCCCTCATCTCCCCTGCTTTCCCCTATGGTAGGCTATAGGACAGTGGTTTTCAAACTGTGTTCTGTGGAAGCCTAAGATTCCACAATATGTCATCAGGATGTCTGCAAAGTTAAGAAAGAAACAGCCTAATGCTATTGCTGTGAACTATCTTGTATTAAGTGTGAAACAGCACTGGCAGTTATCAAGAGATAGGGCAATAAGCTATTTGAACCAGCAGGACATGGAAATATCCTTCAAGAGCAAGACTTTTCTGTCTACTCAAGAGCAACAACTTGTCAGCTCTTATCCCATTTCAGAATGGGAATGCTGCATACCAAAGCATCTCTCAATTAGCTCTGCAGGGAATGGGATGACATGTGAGATGTTAAAAGTAGGTATAACAATGTACAAATACAGATCAGGCACAGTCAGGAAAATATTGCACATGAGCAAAGACATCTAAATTTGGTGTGGAACTACTTGGTGAAACATGAGACAGATGTGTTTTTACTGCTTTCCCCTGCCCACCTCATGTCTCTACCCCCCACTTCTCATGCCTGGCAGCCACACAGACTATTAGCAACTACTAACTAAGAGAAGTTCGTTTGAAAGAAGGACAGTAAGGTTGGCTTTCACGGGTATGATCTCACCACCATTACTCCTCCCTTGTTTTATTTCAAGTTTTCCACAGTTATAACATCCTCATCCTCCAATCAAGCAAGGGCCAGGGATATTTGGGTCCAATATTCAAACCAGAATCTGTCCCGTTTTCTATTCACCTATGCTCTGTCATCAATAGCCTATTCATTGCTTCAGAGATTATTATCCACAGGCCTGTAAAGCAGCCAGGAGTGCCACCCAGACCTGCCTTCTGCAGAAAGGCTCCTTTAAGAAAGCTGTCTCTCAGCAAAATATTTTCAGTCTTCTAAAAGGAAAAGCAAACCCACCCTACATGCTGTTTGGGGCATTGAAATGATGTTATTCAATTCTTGCTCCTAGGGTTTACTTTACTGGAATAAGGAGAACACAGCCAATGTTTTGGCATAAACTGCTCTCTCCAGAGTGATAGCATAAACCCTGTGCAAATTAACCTAAGCAACACCTGTTTGTCTATAAAACAACAAAGAAGACCCAGTGGGGACAGACTCTCTCTTCCAGTGATGACACAGCCAGGCAAAACAGGCAAAGCATAAAAATGTGTCCAGAAAATACCAAGGGTGAAGTCTAAGTTATTTTCCTGGAACAAAGGGAGAAGGCATTATTCTTCTCTTGAAACTAAGAAATGTGATGATATACGATGCAGTCTCACTACCACCACAATAGAATTTCTGGCTGCCCGTTGGGAAATTGTAAAAGAGGTTTCAACTTTGGCTATTTCTATGCCCACAAGCACAGCATACCCTGCCTCCTCAGGAGTTCTAGGTCTGGGAAAAGAATTTTTCTACTTTCCTGTCTTTTCTTTCTTATGGTGTATAAAAAAAAAGGGGGGGGGGGATCGTACCTCATCAAAGCTCTAATCCAAAGTACCTTGATTATCTACCCAGACCAGATACAGTATGCTGTAATTACAGATCTTAATAGAAGGTTACCTCTTTATGTTAAGAGAGATATGTCCTCTTTAGGATGGGGAATGGCATGTTTTTTGCTGTGGACAAACAAAACAACTATACCAATTTAAAAAGAAAGAACGGGCTTATTGTTTGTGAGCATCGGAGATCCGGGTTTTCAGTTTCCCACAGAAAAACAAAGGAAACCACGGATTTCCTGACTTTAACAGAAAAAAAACGGATTTCCCTTTTAGCAGAGCTACCCGTGGATTTCCCTCATTTGCGAAGAGCTCTGTAGACTGGCAGAGTTCCCGCCTGCAAGAGCTAATTGCCAAAAGGGTGGGAAACCCCCAGCCCTGCCCAGAGGGGGAGGGAGAAGGGGAAAGGGCAGGCAGGCCCTGTAGCTCTTACTCAGCCAAGGCTTGGCTCAGGCTCACTCTTCGTTCCTAGAGCCTAAGGTAAGTGGGGCATGCAGAGGGCTGGGGGTCCCCTCAGGCAGGGCTGGAAGGTTGTGGGTTATGGCTGGGGGGCACTGGCAGGGCTGGGAGGGGCCCCTGGGTGGTAGGTGTGGGTATGGGTGACTGCCAGGGCTGTGGAAAGGGCCAGCAGGGCAGGTGGGGGGCAGGGCGTAGGCCTGGGGCTGGGGCTGAGGGAACAGGGAGATGTTGGGGGCAGCCCCAGATGGAGTGCCTGCCTGGCCGGCAGCACATGGACTGGGAGGTGAGTGCTATTGGCCCTCCAGGGAAGCTGCAAAGGGAAGTACGGAGCCCACTCAGGCCAATAGCATGCCACTCCCAATCCATGTGCCGCTGGCCAGGTGGGCACTCCACGTGGGGAGGGAAGCAGGGCAGCAGGAAAGAGCGGAGCTGCACGGAGAAGTTGTTTGTCACTGTGAGCTCCACCCTGCTTCCCTCCCCTGGGGCCTCCGCAGCCCAGTGGGTGCAACCCAGCGCAGCAGGAAGCAGTGGCGCCATGCAGAGAAGCTGCTCACCACTGCAAGCTCCACCTATGTGCAGGCCTGCAGTGAGAGCAGCGGTGCGGAGCTGCACCTCTCAAAGCGACGGCACACGCATGGGGTGTGTTGCCAGGGCAGTGTGGAGCTCACAATGGTGAGCAGCATCTCCACGCGGCTCCACTCCTCCCTGCCATTTCAGGTCATGCCCACTAGGTTGCAGAGGTGCCTGGGGAGGGCAGCAGGGTGGGAGCCCACAGCCTGTGCCTGCCCCATGCACAGATCTGGGGGCATGGGTCCCCCCAGCACCCTCCCTGCAGCAGGCAGCAAGGGGGAGTGGGGGCAGGGGGCTGTGGACCCAAGTCCATAGCCCTGGCAGCTGGGAGACTTCTCCTGAAGGGCTGGGGAAGCAGGGACTGGTGGGGGGCGAGGGGCACAAGGAAGGCTGTAGGGAGTGGGGAGTGAGAGGCACAAGCAGGGCCAAGGGGGCTGTGGGGAGCCTTTAATTTGAATCACAGATTTTGGGCGTTTTATGAGAGAATTTATGATTTTATATCAGGGAAAACCGGGGTCTCTGGTAAGCATGCACCTGCTGATATGTTTAGTAAGCCTGCTTCTATCCACATTGAAGGGATGCTGAACTGAATCAGCTTACCCTGAAATGAAACAGCAGCTAAATTAGTGTGACTTAGCTTTTACTGACTACAGGATACAGAGGGGTACATGAAACAGTTATCAGCTTGAAACACAGAAAGTCCTCATCACCTTCTTAAATCAGTATAATTGGTTCATCTGTTTCTACTCTTGACATTTGTCAAAACTCAGATAACTTTTTTCCCCAGTGACACCGACGAAGCTCCACCAAAAGTTAGTGGGATTGCACTGGTGTAACAGAGAGGAAGATTTGTCTCTAAATGTATGCATACAGATACTGCACCATGGATTTATTATGTTAGAATAGGTTTCCTTTTCTTCTATGTATAGATTTTAACTGGCCAGTAATATAATGGGACATTACATATCCTTCAATTGTCCTGTAAATTTTAACAGTTTTTACAATTAAAATTTGAACTGTCACGGGTTTCTTCATTCCACCAGTTTGGACTGTCTCTCATAAGAAAAAACTGCTTGAATAAGCCTAGGAGACTGGGCTGCATTAGTAAGACTGTTATCAGCAGATCAAGGAAAGTGATTATTTCCCTTTATTCAGCACCAGTGAGGCTACATCTGGAGTACTGTGTCCAGTTTTGAGGCCTCCACTACAGAAAAGATGTGGACAAATTTGAGAAAGTCCAGTGGAGGGCAACAAAAATGGTTAGGGGGCTGGAGCACATGACTTCTGAAGAGAGGCTGAGGGAACTGGGCTTTTATGTAGTCTGAAGAAAAAAAGACTGAGGGGAGATTTAATAGCACCCTTCAAGTACCTAAAGGGCAGTTCGAAAGAGGATGGAGCTAGACTGTCCTCGGTGGTGGCAGATGACAGAGCAAGCAGCATGGTTCTCAAGTTTCAGCAAAGGAAGGTTAAGTTAGATAGGAGGAAAAACTTTCTTGCTAGTAGAGGGTAGTAAAGCACTGGAACAGTTTACCCAGAGGGGTGGTGGAATCTCCATCCTTAGAGGTTTTTAAGACCCAGGTGGACAAAGTCTTGGCTGGGATGATCTAGTTGGGAATGGTCCTGGTTTGAGCAGGGGATTGGACTGGATGATTTTCTGAGGTTCCTTCCAGCCCTAATTTTCTATGACCCTGATTCTATCATTCTACCAGGTCTACCTAATATTGCATGTTTAGCTGCAGTCAAAATCAAGTTAAGATTTAACTTGAAAGTGAGGAGGAGGGAAGAGAGAGAGAGAGAAGAAATGTATGTTGCCAGCTTGAACAAGTCTTCCAAAGTAATTCTGGTAATAGACTGGAGCAACTCAAAGCTCTGATACTCCCCAGCCCAAAAGAAAAAAAATAAAATACAGAGAACAGTTTAGTAGACACTGATATTGCTCTAGTATTCTGAATGTGTGGGTGCATCAAAATAATTAACTGTCTGGATGCTCCAAACTCTATAGATGGTCCCTCCACTATGTGAATGAATGCAAGTCTGTGACTGGGCAAAATCAAAGTCACCAACAATTACATGAATTTCTCTGGTTCTTCTTCAGGGGATTTTATTTCAAAGGTTAACTGCAACTGGCTAAATGTTAACACTTTAAAGTGTGAGATCAGAAGATGCTCAGTTTGTTACTGGCAGCATTACATTGCAAGGGACAGCTGAGCCCAGATGAGTACAGCTTTGTCAGGGACATTGTCAGGGACAGCTGAGTCCAGCTTTGACTTAAGGGATTTATGCAGATTCTTCCCATTCAAAGTATATCTTCAGTTTACTGGACACAAGCAAAAAAAGGCCATTATTTATGACTGCTTATGACTGATGTGTCTAAGGTGTTTTACTTGGTTTTAAAGGCATATTTTTTAGTATTCATCCCTACCATAGATCCAAATTGCTTGCCATTTCTAATTGTCTGATAATAAATATCTATGCATTTTCATCTGGACCTCCATGTTAGTTTAAAGCAGCCCACAGAATTATAGTGAGCATTACTACTGAAAACATGGGTTGTGTTTTTTCTTGTGCCCTGTCTGTCTAAATTAGTTGCTGCTGCAATATGCCAGCATTACATCACCATATATGCTGACCTGATACTGACTTAACATAATGCAACTCATCAGACCTGAAGTCACACATCCCAAGTCATCTATGTGTCAGAAAACATTAGACTTACAACTTGCATCTCAAAATCCCATTCAGTTGCATTATCTGGTTTCAATCACAGTCACAAAAGAAAATAAGCATTTCTCAAGGCTTTTTTGTTATCATTACTTCTCTTTATAAAAGGACTACAGTATTCAACTATAACAGTCCCAATTGCAGCTTTTGATAGTGTTACCACAATGATTTGCAACACTGCTGAAGAAAACTGTTGTATTATTTTTAAATACAGGATAGAGTCCAAAGCCAATAGCAAACAGAGGAAATCAATGTTTGAGGACAGCAGTGAACAGTATAGGAAGGGGATACCTCTGAGCCAGCAATTACTGTCATCAGTAAACAACACATATCATGGAGCCTAATTATATACAGGATATTGAAGGAAAATACAGTTTACATTTTTCATCAGCGTAACTGGTCCAAGGATCTCAGCATTGTAACTGCATTTGTACTAGTGATGACAAGAATTCCTGATGGCCCATTGTACGCACCTGGCCCATTCTGCAAACCAGTTTGATACAGTCAGAACCATCTACATGCTGCCATATATCTGGAATCAAAAGCCTGTTCCCCTGCCGCTCTCCCCTGCCTCAAAGAGTAGGACAGGATAAAAAAGTGGTTTTCTCCTGACAGAGACAAAGAGTCCTCAAGGCACGAGAAGTTTAGTGACAGTATCTCAGTGGGAGCAAGTGTAGCCATTACTCTTACACAGCCAATCACAGGTTAAAGTTATTCAGTATCAGACAAACTGTACAGAGGTTTAAAGGAGACAGCATTTATTGGTAGCAAGGAGCAAATTAGCCTACCCAGAAGATCATTAAATTAAAGAGTATTTGGGCCTAACAAAGAATGAGAAAAATAAAAGCTGAAGAGATAATTGGTCACCCTTTCCACAAATGTTAATGATCTAGATGACAGTGAACATGCACTGTAGCATTAGATTTCCATCACCACTCAACTTGTCAAGCAGTGATTATTATTTTTACGCAATTTACTGGATTTTGTGTCTGAGGGCTTATAAATCAGTCTTGAAAAGAATCTCTTATCTTTGGCTCAATTTGTGTCTTGAAACATCAACAGTTTCCCTGGAGTTTTGAACAATACTGAAAATGACTGCTTTTCTTGAAAGACTTCAGCCATTTCAGTATTATCAGTCATTGTCAGCAGGACCCCGGAAACAACTGGCAGCAGCCTTTAAGGTGCTGAATGCCCTCAGAGTGCTGAGGGATTGTAGCACATGGAAGGATTAGGTCCAGCATTTGTTAGAACCCAATTACTGACACTCCAACAATCTATATAATATTTTGGGCTGGTGTGAAATCACATGTGCAGAACTTCTGAGTAGAGAATGGTGGATAATTTTTCAGACGTACATCTTTAGAGACAATCTGTCTTGTTGAATTATATTTTAACTATCTTAGAATAGGCCTTATCTTGATCTAAGGCCCCAACCCTGCAAATGCTGATGGATGCCCCAAAGTTCAGCATGAGAATGGTCTTGCTGCCTTCAGCAGAAGTTCTCTCATACATAGTTAGGCATGAGCTTTGCATGATCAGGGCCTATTCTCAACCAGTGTCACTTTAAACAATGATAACCAGATACATTCACACCACATTGAGAAAAGAACATAAATGCAGACAACTGACCAATACCTAAAACTGAAAAAGAATTTTTATTTGAAAACCTACCTCTTGCTTCCAAAACTAATTCAACAGCTTTTCCATTTTATTAACAGCAAGTTGCAGAGGGCTGCCTCCCCTCTGATATCCCCAGCCCTATCTCCCTCTGTACTGCTAAGCACTCCTTATAGGACAAATTCTAATTTTGTGTCTCACTAAAGGGAGTGGGAAACTTGGCCATGCATCAAGCAATCCAGTGTGCAAGCTGCATGGTTGCACAAGAATAACCCAGTTCTTAAAAGATAACCCTCCACTGGTCAGTAGGTCAGTGAGGTTTTCATATCAATAGTCATCCATCAAGCTTCTTCTTTTTGGGAGTTTTGCCTAAGTACAAAGGGAAGAATTGGCTCAAACGTAAGGAAGAAGGAAATGGTTTTCTTCATTGCAGCAATGCCCAAAGAGTAAACATAGCATTAGTTAAAGATTTCATCAGCACATTTTTTATTGACATGAACAGACCATTTTGTTCCTCAACTGTCTATTGTCCCTTCCGTCAAGAAAACAATTTGCTACCTTGACTCCCCACAGCAGAACATGTGACAGCATAGACGCTACTCCACTACAGCAGCAAAGCAAGCCACCTTCTTTCAAGACAGTCACTGTGCTGGTGTATTTAGTGTTATATACAGACTATTAGCCACAGAGGAAAGCAGAAGAAACTGGTGCAAGATGTAGCCTGAAGAGAGAAGATGACAGAAGAAAGAGTCAGCTGGAGTGGAGAGAGGAAGACAGAGCCAGAGGAGAGGATGATGCCCAGTGTCTTACTTTTACTTGGTCCTCTGGGAGGTTACTCCATTGGATTTCTCTCTCAGACTGTGGCTCCTTCTTGAGTTTCCTTTTCTGGTTCCTTTCCATCCAAATGTCATCGAAGCTGAAATGCTTGTACAGGGGTTTGGGCTGCCTCCTCTGTGAAGTTTCCTTGGCTTTTCCATCCAAAGTGAAGAGAGGGAGTCTCCAGCCTTTGTTTTCAATACTTGAGAATGGGTGTGGGGATGGCAGTGTCTGAGGAGGCTTCTTTTTTCGATGGGGAAGCCATTTCTCACAGGACCTCCTTTCAGGTGGTGTTTGACTTTGCTGTTTAGGATCCTGTTTTATAAGCAGCAGGTGAAAACACAGGAGGTTTTTTATCATGTTCAACAGCTGACTACAATGCTCCAGTGACAGGGCCCAAAATCATTTGGGAGGGATCATCCTTCACTGGAGCTGTGCGAGACTCGCCCTCCCCCTTCTCCTCAGAGAGGAACCTTAGAGCCAGACCGGCACTGCATATTTTAATCACCTTCCTTGTTTTTAATAACCCATCAGAAACTTGAAAGTGACATCTCTTCCCATAAATAAGATAAAGAAGGAAAAATACTGTGACATAAAAATGACAATCAATAAGGGGCAATTTGATGGCTGTGACAAATCAAGTTAATAGGAAAAATGGCCAATATCATTCTGGACCTACCAATCTTCTCATTTTAAACTACTGTCCAATTATTACTGGTGTAGGCTTTTCAACATGCTGCTGTCCAGAAATACTGATTTTATACAAGAGCCACTTAAGGACGGGGATATTGGAAGGCATTTAACATGCCAAACATGCCATGGGAAAGACTGTGGCAATAAGACACAGCTCACAGACTGGGGAGGAAGCCAGTGGCAGACTCCTGACCGACTGACAGGTACTGAGGTACCGCATCAAGGAATGGTAGCAAGCCATCCTTTATGTGATGCAATGCATGGTCTTTTCTGCACTGAACTGTACCTGGGTTGCCTTCCCCTAGAAGAATGCAGCAATTCCACTCCCTGAGCAAAAGCTAACAGAAAAAGTGAACCATCCTCTTCACTCACCCTAGTGCACTAGTACAAGGCCAATTACCATCTAGTTTGGAGTGTTTTACACCACAGGCACGAATGGAACTTAAGTCAGTTCACACCTGTGATATTGCTTGGAAGGAGAGACGATGCCTTTATAAATGGAATAACAGTCAAACTTGCTTGTCTGTTTTTATTCCCGCTGTCCCTTCATTATGAAAGGTGATGTTAAGCTCCCGGATGCCTGAAGGTCTGACATACTGAAGCCAAGGCTTTCTGGTGTTGCATTAAATGTTATCCATGCTATTTGCCTGACATTTAGATGAGAAGCTGGGGAGCTTGGGGAGAAGATATGCATAGCTATGGGCTTCACTTCCGTTCTCTATCAACATGCTGCTGCAGTGCTGCACAAAATACCCACTTCTATACAAGAGCCACTTAACAGCAGGGATGTTGGAAGGTATTTAACTACTAATCCAAACAGCAGCAATATGAAGTTTGATGATACCGAAAGTGAAGGTGCCAGAGTGCATCTTCCATGTCAAGGAGATTTATTTCCTGAGTGATGCTACCTCCCATTATACCCTAGTTCAGCGGTTCCCAATCTGTGGTATGCATACCACCAGGGATATGCAGACAACCTGTCAGTGGTACGCGTTAACAGATTCATTACAATTACTTTATATGACAAACATTTGCTGGTGGTACTTAAGGTTGAACTGAAAAATTTGCTGGTGGTACTTAATGTTGTAACTTTTTAAAGTGGTGGAGAGCAATCTGTCAGAGTTTGGGAACTGCTGCAGCCTAGTTCATTTGAAAAACCAAATGAGGCATTTTCATTTGGTCTTAAACCAAGTCCCTATATACATCATGCTATCCTAGCTTAGTTCTAGTTTGCAAATGGCAAATGATGATACAGTCCAGCTGTGTTACACATCCATACTAGGGCTAAGGGAAATGTGGAGAGAGAGGAAGAATGCTTCTAATAAATAGCCCCTAAGCCTCACTGTGTCAGGGAAAGAATGGGAAACAGGAAGGAAAAAGTATGGGAAACAGTATGGGACTTCAAGTATGGGATGTATCAGGGCAGTTTGTTACTGCCTGATGGATAGCACAATTACATAAGTAAAAGCATGTCACAAAAAATCAGATTAATTAGAGTCACTGTAGGGCTCCGTCTAATGCAAAACATTGGCCCAAGGGCAAACTCTCAGTTTTGCAGAACTGGCTTGTTCTGTATTGCTCCTTTCAGCATAAATCTCTGTGCCCTACAAATGAGTTGGAGCATGTTAACTATTTGGGGGGGGCATTGGGAAGGTTTTTGTTGTTGTTGTTGATGATGATCTGCCTTTAAACACAAAAGAAAAGTTACTTATCCACTCAGTAACTCCTGTTTTTCAAAGATGTGTTGTCCCAGTGTGTGTTGCACTGTGGTTATGCATGAGCTCTGTGCACTGAGACAGGAAGTTTTACCACCACTGTCCACTTCACTGTGCACATGCACCCTAGCTGTCCTCATTAAACCAAACAGTGGGTATGAAGAGCACTGTGGAATCAATGTCTTCCAGTTCCTTGTCTACCAAATATATAGGCACAAACAAATCAGAAGCAGAAGGTAAGAGGATGGGTAGTCAAAGGGACAAAACATCTTGAAGGAATCCAGAAACTGAACTGGTAAGTAATCTTCCTTTCTTCTTCTATAGCTTGTCTCTGTGCACATTTAAGACTTCTAGGCCACATTATAACAGACACATCCCTGTTAATGATGGAGAATTGGACTGACTAGGACTTGTTAAGAGAACCATACTTTATATCTATACTAAAGAAGGGAGAGAGACAGAAGGTTTTTCTCTGGTCAGTGCCAAAGGATGTGTGGTAGCACATCAGTGTATGGAAGGAGCCAATATCAAACTTTCGCTCTACACTGTTCTCACAGAAGATAAAGAGGGCCCCAGCTTGATCTCCTTTGTATTAAGGTACACAGATCTGTGCTTCAGTTACTGGAGCATAAATACTTTGGGACCCTTACCAGGATAAAGGGTCTCCTGGCACTTGGCAGAACACAGAAGCTCATCTCTTCTTCATGAATTTTAAAGGTAGTTTAAGCCTTTTCTCCCCTCTCAGTTGCTCTTCCTGTTCTTCATCTTCTCTCCTAGAAGATGATCTAAGATGATTCTACCCTTAAGAGAAAGATCTAAAGTCCCTAGGTCAAAGCTCTTAGACTCCTGAGCCTACTGCATGAGGAAGCCAGAAGGACCTGAATCAGATTCAGGCCTTGCAGGCTTGCCCACACGAAATATTCCAAGGGGCACAGCCCTAGATTCCTTGACTCTTTGAGAGAAAGATTTGAGGATACTGCAGTTTAAGGAGCTCAGTTCCACCCTAGCCACCAAAGACAAGTGTTGTGGTGGTCAGTTAGCAGGAAGGATTGCTGCTACTTCTTGAATTCTGGAGACTTAAGTTTTGGCTGAGAGTAAAGAACAGTGGTGGAGGTGGCAAAGAGAAAAGGAGCAACTAATATAAGAAACCTTCCGCAAACTCCCAAATGTACTATACAACTGTGCCAAAAAGTTTAAATTTAAATTACATTCACAAATTAGATGAAAGCAGGCTATACTCAATGTGGACAGTGGTGCTCCATCTCAGACCATACTTACTGAGAAGGAAACAGCACAGCAGTTGATTTCTCACTGTGCTAGTAACCCACAATTCAGTACACCAGAATAGCATGCATAGACCAAATGGACATTGCTGGCAGTGGCTCTGGTTTCAAATGCATGTGCACCCCACAGCAGAAGGCACACAGGGACAAGCACATCAAAAGCTACTCAGCAACAGGTAAGGGGAAGGAGTTTTCCTTTTAAATCTACTAGTAAGCATAATTTCTCACATCTTTAAAATAGCAACAGACACCGAAAGGGACAGTCTTGGTTACAGATTTTGTAAAGGTACCTGGCAACAATTCAACACTATCATTTTAGTGATATTTTGATATCAGTGATATTTTGTTCAAAACCAATATTGGATTTTCAGAGCTTCCTGGTAAAATCTCCCCAAGAGCATGTCTGTGTCATCCAAGGGCCATGCAAAGATGCCCTGCAGTGAAGTATGACATGCCCTAATATAGGTTTAATTTGGCTACTTTGAGCTGCATTGGTTGTGTGCCAGTAAGATCCATCTCTGGCAGGCTTATTGATATTTTCTCAGTACCAAATAAGACAGCTGTGTTGCATCCACTTTGGGGTATATTGTGTGACCTGAGTGTGCCACCCTTCACTCCAGCACTCCCTAGCATGGGTTTTTTGATGATGTAATTGTGTCCATTAGCTAAAATACATAGGGCTCAGTTCTATCCTATTTCCCTTGTCTAATCAACTCAAAAAAACATTTTCTAAAGGTTCTGTATAATGTATCTGATTTTGTCTCCTGGAGCTGGTATGATTATATTAATACCTAGGCTCCAGCTGCTTTTAAACAATTAACTCCAGATATTCATATTCTGCAGTATGAAGAACAGCCAAAGTGTGAAGCAATGAAATTCAATGTTAATGTTCATGTTTTAATTTAAATTATTTAGATTAGCTACAGATTTAAGCATTTATTTATATGCTCATAATGCCCAGATTCTAGATCTGGGTTCACACATTCAAGGCTTTACATGCTTCATCTCTTCTTTCAATATATGTGAGCTTTTGGATTATTATGTATCAGGTCAGTGCTTTTGTTCAAGCCGCAAAGGACTTTCATCATCTCACTGTGTTAACAGCATGCTATCTATCCCTGCTTGAATTCCTTTTTTAATGTTTTATCGAGATACGGATTTCCTTTAATTTGCAAAGTGCTGCAAGATACTTGTTTTACATGCAACACAATGTATTCTGAATACATTTTGTGAGTGAATTGATGCTCATGAAAATAAGAGATTCACTATCACTGGGTAAAGTCAGGCATTGTGTGGGAGGAGATGAGCAATTCCCACACACAGTAATTCCACTATTGCATCTCTCATTTGTGACATGCAGTCCATCTGCTTATTTTGTTTCTAGACAGCATTAGCTGCAAAATGCACTCAGAGCAGAGACCAAGAAAACTCATCTTTACTGGTATCTTAACAACTTAAATTTTAAACTGGGACTACAGAAGGGAAAGGGCAGTGCTTTGTCTGAATATGCTACCTGCACGAGCCCATAAGGACTGTCTTGTAAATATACTTTTGATCTGGATGCTGAGAAGGGATTTTTGCAACAGACCTTTTGATATAGGGCTGATCAACACATTTTACATCATAACTGCATAAGGCATCTACCAGCACAAGGCAGTGCAGACAAGACAGAAATCTCATGCACAAGCCCTCTGTCAAATACAAGTCACTGAAAATGCCTTTCATCAAAACAGTTTTACTCTTTTTTTAAAATCAATACTAAACTGTAGTGACTCACCTCAGCCTCAGTATGTCAGAGATGGACTGCAGCCAAGCCAGCTTTTCAAGACCTGCTGTAATTATTTACCTGTATGCTCCTCACTTTGTGAGTGGAACAGGTTCATAACCCACCCCAAAATCACTAGGGGTACCAGAACCAATAGACACAAAAGGATGGCATTGCCAATGGCTCCAAGATGTCTGAGATTAAACCCCTTTTTATGCCCCTATTGGAGAGATGTATTATTCCCCTACTAGTTACCAGGAACCTAGTTCATCAAGATTATTAGCAGTATCCATGCACATTGACTAGATATACAGTTCACACTCATTGTCTTTTTGCTGTTGAGGAGGTGGGGGAGTGATGATAGGGAGCATTCAACAGGGAGTTATAGCAACAGTGATTTCCTTGTGGTATTCTCAGACAAATCTGTTTAAAATCAGATTTAACTTACTTTTGCTTCTGTTTGCCCCTGAAAACCAAGGCTAGAGCAGTTAAAGTGTTGAGCTGATTTCTTGTTTGCCTTATGCACCAACAGACTTGTTTACTAGGTGCCAACTACAGGGCTCAGTTCTGCCTGCAGTTACATTGTAAAACCCAAGTGAAGACAGTGCCTGTGCATGGGTGTAACAGAAGACAATATTTGGTCTGTGCAACATGCAACACATTTGTCAGGTGAATTTGCCCATTCTAGGGTAAGTTTGCAGGACTGGCAGCTAGGACCCCACCTCTTCTCTTACACTTCATCTTTTTATCTAATCTTAAATCACAGAGAAGTGACATATACAGAGAATCATGATGCCAATTGTACAGAGTCCCTTTTTAAAGTAACACTGCTGCAAGGTAGTTTAGATTAAAGAAGAATCCCCCATGGCTAACATACAACCAGCAGTTATTAATGTTCACTGCTGTACTTAAAGAGAGGTAGTTTAATCCAAAACCTACCTGATTTATTAACCAAGTTCCACTACCAGCTCTTGGAATTCCCTAAGCCCAGTACAACGCTGCAAACCACACTGCGCCAACTTCTGACTTCCCATAGAACCACTCACCTCATCTCTGAGGATATCACTAACAGAAGAAGCTGTGTTCAAGCTGATCTGAGATTGACTGCTTATCCCACTGTCTTCCCTCTGGTATTCATTGTCCAGTGAATGCATGGAAAGCAAGAGACTGCCTCTAGGTTTCAGGGTCTTTGGCCTTTCTGGTGCCTCTGAATTGCTGTCAATTGCAGAGTTGTTTCCAAGAGAGATCATTGAAGTGGCACTTATTCTCCCAGGATAATGGACACTCCTGCATTGAAAACGTGGTCTTGAGCTCCATGGTTTGGGGCTCATGGGCCTACAGGGCATATCTTTACCTTCATATGTTGATAGCTGGGGGCAAGAAGGGCTTAACTGGGTAAATGATGAGTGCAAGTCGCTGGGGCTGAAGGGTGATTTCAGCCAGTATTCCTCCAGGGAAGCATCTAAACTGTTGCTCAATGCTTCCTGCTGCTCATCATCATCTGGACTTTGTGGACATTTGATAGTCAGGTCATAAGACAGTACTCTTTTCCTCCTCATATGTGCAGGGGCAGAGACATCAACGTGCTCCATAGATGTGTCAAAATGGTTGGTATCTGGATAGGTGCCATTAGATACACCTGATCTCAAAAACACTTGCCCATTAGAACCCTCCTGCTTCTCTGTGGAGGTCCTCCTTGCAGCATTGCCAGGACCTTGTTGCTGATTTCTGGTGATATTAAATCTCTCCTGGGTTGGTGACATACTCGCAAAGGCAGAGCTCTTCAGCCCATCTGCTTCCTTGCTTTTCAGAAATGCTTTCCAAGAACTTTGGCGAAATTTGGCTTTCTCCTTGTCATGTTTCAGTGGCACTTTGGAGCATTGCTCAATGTTTTCCTTCTCCAGAGATCTGGACTCAAATAAACTTGACAAGGATTTGTGTGCCAAGGCCAACCTTGTGCGAAACTTTTTACCCTCAGGGGTTTTATTTCTTTTACACTCCATCTCAGATGAAGATCTTCTGATCCCAGAGCACACTGCAGCTTCACTGGAGTTATTTTCCTCTGACACTAAAGCTCGTCCTTCAAGGGATTTCACAGTATTGAGGGTGGGAGAAGTAAGATTCGTTTCTATGTCTTCCATCAGTAACCGACCAGAGCTAGACGCTTTCCTCAGGCTTAATCTGTTGAATAATCCTCCAGGTCGCTCATAGAATAAATCCTCATCATCAGAGTACTCAGAGGTGTAGCCTTCCTTCCTTTGAAAGACAGAAGTGGGGGAATAATTTTTAAAAGACAGCATGTTTTCTGTATCACCTTCCTCTTTCCCAGTGTCCAATTCTTCTGTTTTTGTCTTGCCACCAAGGAAGCTGCTACTACCTTGATTTTCAGCAGGTGCTGACTTGGTTTTCCTGAAGGATGCCATTTTTGAGAAAACTAAAAACTTGGAAGGTTTCCCAGTGTTCCCAGTTTTAGTCTGTTTTTGCACAGCCTTGTAAAAGCTACTGTTGTTCCCCAGGAAATGGAATAAATTTTCATCCATTTCCTCACTGTTAGTACTGCCTGTACTTATGTTATCTAGGCCCACTGTGGAGGAATCCTGGCTGTCCCTTTTCACAGCATGGTTACAAGCATTGGTCCCATTCAGATTCTGTGCAATGTCTTTGCTGAGGCTTGCTGGCTCCTCTTCAGCTGAGTCCTGATTTATTGGTCCAGTAGGAGAATCCTCAAAAACAATTATTAGTTCTTTTGAACTGTTACAGCCTTCAGTTGTTTTCCCTTCTTGTCTTTGTTTACCAAAGATGCAGCTCCCTACTATGTCATCAGTAGCCTCATCTTGCCGACACAGGCCACCAGCACGGTTCATTTCCAACATTTCTGAAGGAGTTAAACACATGTCTTCCTCCAGGCCCTGACTTGCACTGAACTCATTTTTCTCAATCACTTTGTCACCTCTCATTTCAAACAGTGATTGTGTTAACTCTGCTGCCTCTAACTCAAAATTAGCATTTAGTCTGCAGGGTCCTACCTGACAGATTCCTACACTAGCTACATCATTTGGTTCCACATGTATTCCACTATTTGCATCTTCCTGCTGTTTAGCATTTTCCAGTTGTAGATTTACATTTCCTTCTGTGAAACTACTGCTGCTGATATTTAAGGATGAAACCAGAGTCGTGTCCTCTATTTGCTTTTGCACAATTTCTGATTCTTCTTGGATGGTGCCCCCAACAGGAGCTGCCTCTTCATCACCAGAAACAGGGAGGATAGGCAAAGTTTGTTCTTCACAGCCAAAGTATTCATTCAAAGCTCTCTCTGGCTTACTATGTTCTCTGCTGGCAAGGGAAGAAGACCCTAAATTCTTACTTACTAGTTCTCCCAGTGTTCCTGTTATCATTTCAGTAGAACAATTTTTATTTAATGTCTTCGAATGCAAGCCTTTTTGTTCCACAGATATTATAATTAGAGCTGGTTTTAACTCTGGGAACTTCAACAAGTCCTGTCGCTGACTCACATAACCTGGCTTGGGAGCTATTTCAATGGCACACACATTATCTTCATCCTTTTCTTCTTCATTAATAACATGTCCATTTGTTGTCACTGGCTTATGGTAACCCTGCAAAGCATCTTTTTTATTACTCTGGTTCCATAGCTTAGAATCGTTTTTCTCCCCTGGAGTATCGTTGGCACCTGATTTAGGTGTGGTTTCCAGGCCTTTAAAATCCAAACCAAGTTCAAAAGAATCCCTTAACCCTGCTTCCTTTACAAAGGCCTCTGTATTTGGTGATTCAGGGCCAGTGCTGCTCTCCTCTGAGTTATTTAGCTGTGTTCTGCCAGCCAGGACGTAGTTTGCAGGACAATTAGCGCCTTTGTTTTCTGCAGGAGTAGAAACACCTACAAAACAAGTTGTTTGTTCCTTAATATCATCAATGCCAGTTTCAGCATGAATGCTGCCAGAGAACCTTTGTGTTTCCAAAACTATCTCAGATTTGCTTTTATCTTTTCTTGCTGGTACTACTGTAAGTATGCTTGTTGGCTCAGAATGCAAGGCTGAGAGAATCTCTCTTTGTTTTGGATCACACTTGGAGGCATCTTTCAGGTGGAGTGGTGCCAAAGACAAGGTATGAGCACATGTATCTGTCATATTTCTGTTAAGGCCACATGCTTCTGATTTCCTGTGCAAATTAATATCAGCACCTTGGTGAGAGCCTACTGGATGAGAAAGCTGATCACTATTTGAGTCTACATAGGCATTAAGAAATGATCCTTTTAAGCCAAATTTCCCCTCATCTTTTATTGCTTTTTCAGAGCTGCAATCAGCCCTTTTTAAGTCTTTCCAGGTGTATTCAAAATCTAGGCCTTGAAGATGTACCCTGGAACATGACCATCTAAATTTATCAGTAAGTTGAAAATAGTCATCCAAATATTCTCTCTTGCCTTGAACACTAATGTTTTCAGGTTCACTGTGCCATGTTTTACTTTCTGTAATCTCTGGCTTCCTAGGTAGTGGCTGAAACTTAGATTTTAGGAAAGGCTGATGTAAGAGTGAATCTGATTTCAGCATGACCCCTGAGATTCCATTTCCTACCCCTTTAGCTGCATTTTGACTGTTAACTGAGCTCTTCTTATTGCATTTTATGCTGGGTATTGAATCCAGGTTGGAATTCAGTTCAATCACCTCAGTGTTTCTTTTATAGCCAGTTCTGTTTGTTTCAAAATATATATTAGGCAAACTGTGGCTTGATCCTACATCTGGCTGGAAAGGAAATTGCGGAGTATCAGGGAAAGCCAAACAACTTTCTGAGTTTGCTTTCAAACAAGCAATATTCAATACTGTTGGTCTTTTTTTATTCCTTGTAATAGCCTCTTCAGTTGGTTTTGCCTTATTGCTATCAGACTTTATTTGACCTTGCAATCCACCAACGACTAACTCAGTGTCTGTCCTTGTTACAGTATCCTCTCCACTGGTTTTCGACTTTGCGTTGGAAATATCACTAGTTAATATTAGTATTTTCTCCCCTGTCTTTTCTCCTTCTGATTTTCCAGTCTGCACCCAAAGTTCATTCTTGTTTGAAGCTACTTTTAAATCCAACTGCTTCCTTTGACTATGCTCTGGCTGCTTTGTGCAATTAAGTTGGTGACTGGACAATTCTGCCTTCACATCATGAAATTTATGGCGTGGTTCTCTTTTTTCAGCAGAAAAGCAGCTTGAACTCAAGCAAGTTTCTCCAGTTATGTCATAGGCAACAGACTCTGTGTCTGATGCACTTTCATAAGGCTCAGTCTTAATGTCTGAAACAGATTCACTCTGATGAGACTGGGTCTCAAAATAATCTTCATCTGTTTCCTGGCTTGATCCACGTAGCTCCAACTCTACTGTACTTAGTGTGGTAGAACTCTGGTCATCTTCAAACTCTCCTTCACTGATGCAGTTTTCAGTTGGCTCAGGGGTCTATGAATAAGAAAAAATAATTAATCAAGAATGGATTCCCTTAGCAATTTAATATTGTTCAGCATTAAAAAGAAATATTTTGTTAAGATTTAAAATATGAAAATGATACATTTTTATGGATTATATCCTGTATTTACAGGCAAATAGACCTGGTGCCCTTACATCTTTACTAAGAATTGATGTTGTCTATACAATGCTCAGCAAGTAGTAGAAACCTTTCAAAAACAGTCCAAGGCACCTTTCACATTTAAATAAATGAAACAGACATCATTCTTTTGATCTATATTTTGCAGCTGTTACTGAATCCATCTATGAGCATCAGTAAGGTGTTTTTGCCATACATCAAGGGCATCATTGTTCTTGTCTAACGTAATGTTATCCAAGTTATGGATTTGGATGCTCTCCAAACCAGTGCATGAATCAAGAGTGAAAAGGATATCCAAATCTTTATCCTTAAACAGCCCTGAAAAATGGGTAAAATCTGAAAAGTCCCTACCTCTTTGTAATTGTGAGAATATAGACTGATATCTTTCCAAGCTTAAGGTGAGAGACCCTTAAGGAACCGTAGGAGACAATTAAACCTGCTTCAACCAAATTGTAATACACGAACAACACGTATTAACGATACAACCCAACTCTACAGAACAGTGCATCCTTCACTGAATGGAATCAATAATGCATGTAACTGAGGCCTTTCAATAACGTCAAGCCTGGCCATCAGCAGTACAAAAAATGACCAGTAGTAGTAAGACAGTATAAATTAACATTTCACATAGTGATCAAACAGCATGAACTGAAGTAGCAGTTGACTCATGCTGCAGTGGATGCAGGAGCAGCCATTCAGCATTAGCAGTGCTGAATCTTGAACAATATTCTAAGCATAAATACACAGATGGCAATAAATGAAGACAAAAAATTTCTCAAGCAACTGGGAGGTAAGAAATAAAGACACCCAATTGTCCACCAAGATAATTATGAATTAAATTACACAAAAATTAGGACACAGATTTATTAGGGTTTGTCTATACTTTGAGTTCCATTGACTTCAAAGCACACACCAAAAGAGGAAGAAAGTGCCAGATACAAAGGGCATCAGTTGGCGCATCCACCATTCACGGAACTGTCCCAATATTATATCGACAGTTTCTTGTGTCAGGAAGCTGCTAAGAGAGTTGAAATCTGGATTGTGAAGAGCAGCAACACCCTTTGGACTGGGACAGGTTTAAGGGTGGAGCTTACCACTAAGCACCAGGAGAAAGATGTCTTAGAAGTCCCACTTCCTCCTTTATCTCTTAAAGTAGCTGCATTTCTTTCCCCTGCTCCCACCTCCCCCATCCCACATCCTCTGCTCCCCTGCAGGTTGGAATAGGCCAATAGCTGACTTCTCTCTATGGCTTTCTTGAGGAAGCTGCCTTGGACACGGTGATGAGGAAAGGAAAACAGACTAGACATACAAAAGCTGGGGGACATCATTTACCAGCTGTTATGCTTTCAGTAGCACTGCACCATCACATAATTTGTTTAAAACCTGAAGTTACATGCGAGTTGCAAATAGTAAAATACATTATTTGCATGAATATTAACATTGAATATTCTATTCTATACAAGTCCTTACACCAACCTCAGCACCACAGGCCATGTCTACATGAGATGCTACTGCACAATAGCTCATTGCTACTGCACAGTAGTATCATGTGGCACAAAGCATGACATGACTCTACTGCAGTTATTGCATATTGTGTATGCAAGTACTAAATGACTGTACAGTAACAACTGTACACTCAGTGTCTCATGTAGACATGGCCACAGTGTCTGAACTCCTCACAGCACATCAGTCTATTTGACTAATGCCTGTTATTCATTTTGTACTTGGTTTCTTCTCCTTCGGAGGAGAATTCTAAGTGCATTGGTGCCATTAGCTTTGTTAGGGGTCAGGAAACTTTCTTTATAATGGGATAGGTATTACATGTTCATATCAGAGAAGCCAAGGTCAAAGAAATGTACCTATCTATGTATTTGAGCTAGAATGTACCAAAATCAGTGACAGTCTTCAGTTTCTTTGGTGTAGTACTATACATCAGTGGTCTCCAAAGTGGGGTGCACGCACCCCATGGGGTGTGCAAGACGATTCACTGGGGTGCGGGAAGAAAATAGTAGAACTTCTATTTATATTTATTTTTTATCTATATATATTGTACCTAATATATTAGTACAGTAGTACATGTATATAATTTATAAATAAATAAATATACATATATTGGGGGTGCATGCTCAAAAATTTTTTACTGATAGGGGTGCGCGATCAGAAAAGTTTGGAGACCACTGCTGTACATGACCCTTCCCTTCCCACAATACTAAGGATCCCAACGCACAACCACAGGCCGGAGAACTGAACAAACAGAAGCCATGGGACAGTAGGCCTCAAATGAAAAGATCAACTGGGGGGGAGTTAGAATAAATTCAGTGGGGTTTTGGGATTCAGACAATGCTTTCAAATAGGCACAGAGGACTCCTTAAAGAAACAGCACTGAGAGAATTTAGCCTTCAACGTGTATGTAACTGTACGTAATGTGAAAAAGGAAAATAGATGGGAAGACAAGGGCAGTAGAGAAACAGAAAGAAAAGTCTCATGTTGGAAACTGGATTAAGATGCTGTCTGACACTGCTCGTATTCTGAAAATAACCTGTTGCAGCAGCATTAGGCCTTCAGGATACAAACCTTTCAGGCTCCTGGCTCATTTAAAATGCATATTTTCTCATTTTTCTCCCTTACCAGAAACTAAACACAAACCTGCCTATTGGCACAGGGGGCACCCACCATGCAAGTGACTGTGGATCTCTAGCTACCAGCAAGGAGAAAGGAGAAAAAAAGCAAGTTTTGGAAATAAAGTCATGCAAATTTGCTCTCTGTCTTCCAAATGAGAAACAGCAGTAAGCCTGTGTGCAAATTGGAGTGTCAGTAAACTAGGAATATCCTTGAGGAGTGTGAAAGTAGATTCACAAGATGGAAAATACAAATTAGGTAGCTTCTAAGACGTGATGAAAGAGTAAACTAGAAGGCCTCATAGAGAGGGTCCTGGCTTATTCTACTGATGAAATTGCTAGATAAAAGCCAGAATTCTTACTGTTAATCTACATTTAATGGTGGCACTTAATCCATCCAAGATAGAAAATATGGTAGGTTTGCAAAATCTGCAGGGGGCGGGAGGGTGTCACCCTCTGACCTGGACAAGTCATATTATCAAGCGTTCAAAGACTAAAAGCAGTTTAGAGCTTTGCATATCCAATACATGTGCTGATTGTTAGGAACAAATTATTACTTCTCAGTGATGTCCCACCAGAAAAGTGCAGGATGACAATGATGCATGTATATCAGGATGCAAGAAACACATGGTTTAACTCTACCTGTTGTAAAACAAGTGAAATGCACACTAAAATCTTTATATTAAAGCAAGCTGATTCAAAAGGAAATCATTTTGGTCTACAATGACTTCTCAAGGATTAGAAGAATGTTTTCTGTAGTTTGAAAGCAATGATGTTTAAGTAAATAGGTTATGGCAAAAATAGTTTCATAGTTTCTAGGGTCGGAAGGGACCTGAGCAGATCATCTAGTCCGACCCCCTGCCATGGCAGGAAGAGCACTGGGGTCAAATGACCCCAGTA